ATGTGTGTATATATATATATATGTGTGTATATATATATATATATATATATATATATATATGATTATTAAATGGGGTTATTCCACACACATTGTTCTGTAGTCTTTTCTCATGTAGTACTATACAATGAATCTGTCAGTGCCAATATAAATAGAACATGAAATGGCCTTTTTAACAGTATCATAATACCCCCCGTGTCAAAGGCTGTAACTTAATTCTCTATGGGAAAAGATCTGCTCCTTTTTTCCTATTACAAATGATGTTAAAACTCTTGAACATACACCTTTCCCGCCTGTCTACTATTTCCTTACTGTGCAGACTTAAAGGTAGGATTGTCAGGTCCAAGGGCACATGTATTTAGACTTGGACACATATTATAAAACTGCCCCAAGAAACATTTTACCAATATCCTCCCACTGCAGTGAAAGTAAGAGAATGGTTTAGCTCCTTTCATTCCTGATACTGAGTATTTCCAACCATTTCCATCTTTTCTAACCTGATAACAAAGGCTTGCATTCAAAAACAGCGAACATCAGAATCAAATCGAATGACTTCCTAGTTCAGCAGTCATTCGGCTGGTAGGACTTTAACACTCGTGCACGTCTAAAAGAGACAAACTATTTAGCCAAAGGCAATATCCCCTCATAATAATAAATGAAAGCGGGCATTCTCTTGTCCATAGTTACTCAGAGTGACTCACTGGGCTGGTCTTTGAGAGGAAGCGTGTTCGGGACACATGGAGAACTCGAGCGCAGTGCCTTGTGTCATACTTGGGGAGACGGACACTTTGCACACAGGCTGCTAGTACCGCCTCCTACTAAAGACGGTGGTTGCTCATGAGATGGCATCAGCAGCAAGGAAGGCTGCTTTGCTGTTTTCACCCATTGACAAGCTTTGAGCTCTTTGGGGCTGATGAGCTCACCTCTTATCTCCTACCTACCTAGTCCCCACAGATAGGTGAGGGAATGTCAGTCAGCAGGACCTTCAATAAGGAACAGCAAATAAATGTCTGCGGCATGGAAAAATGACCTGATTTAAGTTTCCAGTGTAGAATCACTACATAGTAGAGCAAAGAGAGGCAGCGTGTTCTCAGGACAGACACCCCATCATAAAATACTCGGCTAATTTGAAGGTAAACTTACCTTCTAAGAAATAAAAGAAAGGGTAATAGTAAAAAGGAGATAGAAAGCTTTCCAGGCAGGAATAAATGCCCGCTCAAGGGCCTCTAGAAATAGGACTGTAAAGAGAATATAAAGCCACAGGCCCTAAATTACTGGGCTTCTCTTCGCCACCAATGCCAAAAGCATGGTTCTAGTTTCAGCTTCTAAAAATAGAGGGGTTAAAAAAAAAAAAATCCTTCAACCTTCTGATGTCAGCTAAGAATGTAATTAACCTGAGCCTTACCTTCCAAGGAAAATATGATGCTGTTCAGGCCTATTTAAAGAAAGGAACAACTTAAACCAAGATTCCTTCCTTCAAGAATGCTGAAGGATCCTTGTCAAGTACTAGGCTTATTCCTGTTACAGTCATTTAACAATCAGCTAAACAAACCAAAATCTAATTGAAGGGGGACTATAAGTAGCCTAGCTTATAGCTGAACCCTTTATATTAAATAATGTAATCACAATGCTAATACAGTACTGCTTCTGCCTTTGGCTATGTGATGTGTTTACTTCAAAAGTAAAAACAAAAATGTAACACACAACTTACTATTATTAAGATGGGAATACTACCCAAAGCAATCTGCAGATTCAATGCAGTCCCTATCAATATCCCAATGACATTTTTTGCAGAAATAGAAAAACCCATCAGAAAATTCATATGGGATTTCATGGTGCCTCAAGTAGCCAAAACAATCTTGAAAAATAACACAATTTCCTGATTTCAAAACTTACTGCAAAGCCATGGTAATTAAAAGAGTACGGTACTGCCATACAAACAGACATACTGACCAATGGAAGAGCACCAAGAACCCCGAAACAAACCCTTGCACATATATGGTCAAATGAGTTTTGAAAAGAGCACCAAAGCCATTCAATGGGGAAAGGACAGTCCTTTCAACAAATGGTGCTGAGAAAACTGGACATCCACATGCGAAAGAATAAAGTTGGACCCTGGCCTAACGCCATATACAAAAATCAACTCAAAGTGGATTAAAGACCTAAATATAAGAGCAGAAACTATAAAACTTCCAGAAGGAAACAGAGGAAAAGCTTCATGACATTGGATCTGGCAATGATTGCATTTGGGTATGACACCAAAGGGACAGGCACAAAAAGAAAAAATAGATTAGGTGGACTTAAAAATCGTTAAGATGGTAAATTTTATGTTGTGTGGACTTTATCACAACGAGAGAGACTGAGAGAGAGAGAGAGGGAGACTTAAGAGATATAACAACCAAACAAAATAGGTGATCTATGACTAGATTATGCTTTGACAAAACAGTTCTAAAATATATTTGGCGACAACTGAGAAAATTTAAATATGCTCTGATTCTTGTGCATTTGTCCTCCCGGGTGAAGACTGGAAGGTAGTATTAAAAGTATTAATACTTTAATAATACTTTAGGAATAATAAAAAGTATTAAAGTATATAAAGTATTAAACTGACTATGAAAAGGAAAGCAGATGAGGGGACACAGAAGCTCATGTGTTTAAAGTGTATCTCAGGCAGCAGAAATGCTCTGGGGCCTTGCCACTGTCTGGGTTTGAGGCAACCTTGGAACTGCACATTGCACTAAATACTTTCATTCTGCAAGCAGCATTCTCATTCATATGGAATTACATAAAATCAGTTTTCCCTCAGGTCTCGCCACCTCATGACTCTTCCTGAGCCTTTCTCTGTTTGCATGTGTTCATACCAGCGAGATGAGAGGAGGCGGAGAGAGTGCTCCAGGAAAAGACTAGCTCTCCATTTTTATTGCTTTGGGCATAAAGTAAACTTTGCTAATTTTAACTGAGTAATATGTACATGTGCTCACACTGAGCTTTACACTAACTGGATGCTGTGAGACCTTGATAATAAGTAGTAAACCATGCAGAACAAACATATTGATCTAAAACATGCGGTATAATGAAGCTCTAAAGGCAAAAGATACATTCGTGAAAAAATAAGTTACTGTAAAGTTGTGTAAGTTTCTCAGTGAGGGGACAGAAATAAAGCCCCTGCAATGTGTTATTTATGTCCACAAAGAAAAGTTAATTGCATTACACTGTGTATTCAGAGGCTGGTTGACATAACCACTTACATAATGATTTTCCTGGGTATAACTTTGCCTGGGGGTAACCAGGGATCATTTTTTCATCTCTGGCTCTAAGATTTTCAAGTTCATGTTTGATAATGAATTGACTTTCTGCCATGGTGAGAAAATCATCATTGTTATCTAAAATGAAACAAAAATGTCCAGTTATTTTCTCAGTAATAGTCAAAATAGAGTTAATAATATTCAAATAACCTGGGGTTATGAAAATAATGATATAAACAATAAATAATATAAGGAGTAAGCAAAGTATAAAACTGGTCAATTTATATATAAAGCTCCTTAGATATTTTATAAGAATAAAATTACTCTATTATGCCTTCACATAATACAATTCCTCAGTCACTGTACTAACTATTATAAGCTATGGTATAAACACCCAAATGGCAGGTGCCTGCTTGACCTCATTGACACCAGTGAGCAGCAGGCAGTGTGCTCTTCAGTTCTAACACTTGTAACCAGAGACGGAATTGAAGCTTGCTATGTGGAGACCCTCCTTCACACTCTCAAGGTCAGGACATTCCCCTCTGGACTCAAGCATCCCTCCCATAAACAGGGGAGAGCAAAGTCTGATAAGAAAACAGTGTTTTTGATAGGCAAATCCTCTTAAATGAGGCTTGTTTCACCTTGATCATTTATGCACTAAGGTAAAAATCCAGAGTGCAGGAGGCTGAAGAAGGCTACTCACTCCCAGTAACTCTGAATGCCCTGGAAGGAACTGTTGATTAAGTCAAATCACATCTAAACTCCAGTCTGATACCACGGCCGCCCATGGTCAATTCTTTCCAGAAACCATTCGCTTCTGGAATCCCTTCTGAGGCCAGAACAGAACCAGTTGCCTCTAGGAAACTGAACTACTGCTGTATTTCTTATAAGACTTTTCTATATGAAGCCAGTGACTATTCACCATTCTAAGAATTATAATAGAATAATTTAAATAAATTGTATGTGTCATCCTAATTTATGTTCATCTATTCCAGGGGTGGCAGAGTCAGCCTGTTGGGCCAAGTGTGGCCCACCACCTGGTTTTATAAGTAAAATGTGAGTGGAACACAGCTTCGCCCATTCACTTCTTATGGTCGAAGGCTGCTTTGCTTTACAGTGGTAGTGCTGAATAATTGTGAGAGATGGTATGGCTCGCACAGCCTCAAATATTCCTATTTGCCCTTTACTGAAAAAGTTTGCTGACCCCTGATCTACGCACTGAAAACTTCTCTTTGGTAAACTGATTGATAGAAACCGTCCTGGACTCACCATCAAAGCCTTTGAAGTTGTGTCGGGTCCCATAGGTGAAGGCCCTCATGGCGTTATCATGACACTCCTTCACCAGCCCCACGGCTTCTGCCCCCAGTAACAACCTAATATTGGAGGCGCCAACAAGATACAGGTTCTGATTTTCCACCGTTTCTTTCTCATATTTATTTAGCAACGGTCTAAACAACAGCTGGGCACCTTCGAACACAAAAGGTAAGCAGGATCTTAGAGAGAGGCAAACATAAAAGTTTCAAAAATAAGAGCCTTTTAAATAAATATTATATTTCTAGTTTGGTAGAAAGAAAATAAATTACATTAACAACTTAAATCCATCTTCCAAATAAATAAGAGATATAAGTAAGTTGGGGGTGGCAGTTTCTTTATAGTTTTTGAAATAAAAGCCAAAACTGGAAAATGCAGTAGTAAGTGGCTTATCAGTTATTCAAATCAGAAGTAGATATGAGACAAGAATTCGATATTTATCAGCTCTAGGTATAAATCTGCACTACATATGCAGGACAAGGATACCGTTTCTAATATAAAAACAAGTGCAAAATTTAAGAAAATTAATCTGAAATAAAACATCCCAGTGAAATTGCCACAAATGTAACACAATTACATTGAACTATAACAGAGTGTGTGACTATTAAATACCAAATAAAGAGCAATGTAATTTTTAATGATTTTCCCCCTAAATGTCTAAGTTCAATTAGGTTTAATGATAGTTTTCTTAAATAGTTTTCCAAGTGTTAATAGTAGATGTTAAGATTTGATCTTGTCATGTAATTATTACTTAAAAGATTATAGTAAAAATAATCTTTTTCTAATTTTTTATTTCTACCTACATCAAACTTTTTAAGCTACTTCTTTACTGATCACCCTCTAGAGCGGATTGACAGGAGTTACGAAAATACTAATCAGATGGTAACAGGATAGGAGCAGAATTTATATTTCACATACCAAATGGGTTAATATATTAAGATTAATGTATTATTTAGGTAATTTATAATAGAGGCATTAAAGACTTTAATAAAAAATCAATTCGATGTACAGAAAATACAAATGACTTGTAAATATAAAATCCTTAACCTCATTCATATTTAGATAAATGCAAAAATGACACCAATATGCTGTTTTGCACTTCTCACACTGACAGATCAAATGTTTGGTAACGAAATAACAAAAAATAGGTTGGCGAGTACGGCAGCCACGGAGGTGCCCCACGCCACCCACCTCTCCCTTCCCGGGAACCTGCTGAGGGCCAGGGTTGACTGACAGCCTCCTGCCGCCTCCTTTGGGTGAAGCACCCTCAGCCCTGCGCCGCGCGCCCAGTTGCTCCCACCCCTGGGACACTGGAACGAGGCGGTTCCTACTCCACGTGGGCTCCTGTGAAGGGGACACTGGGCCTGGCTGACACTTCCTCTGAACTGTGCTGCAGTCTGCGGCTCTCCCCTTTCACAAATGCCAGACAGGCCCCAAAGGCTGACGGCTCTCTACACCCACTCCTGCTCCCTCCCCCTTTTTATCAATAAATGTTTCCCTCAGTAACCCTCCTGTGTATCAAATCCCATCTTAGCGTCTCTTGCTTGGAAGGCCCGAGCTGCCTGAACGGCGGTCTCGGACCCTCCTGGGACAGTACACCTTCATAGAGAGCCGCTGTCAGGACCTTGTTTTGCAAGAGCAGTCCCATTTCCCTCCCCCAACTTACCTTCCCCAAAGACTTCAAATTGTTCAGGCGATTCCTTTGTTATTTGTGTTCATGTGACCAAATAACATGCGTATAGAGCCATTTCTCCTTGGGTTAGGCCCTGGCAGACAAGGGTTCAGCTCTCCTCGCTGCCCCCACCCACCGTCGCCAGGTCTTCTACCACTCCCATCGCACCAGCCTCAGAAGAGAGCCATATCATGCCTTTCCTTTCCTCAGGAGCATTTTCATTATCATGGTTACCATTTCTATGGTTTTCCTTTCCTACAACTTTCCATTTCCCCCCAAATTAACTGTGTGTGTGGTGGTGGTGTTTTCAGTTTGAGGAGAGGGCTAAACTTTGGCCCTTCTATAGTCATCCCTTCCCACCCTGAAAGCATCCCCAAGCAGCACCTCCTGCTGCTCTTTACTTCCATGGCTGTGTAAATATGACTCGGCCCAAGCACCGCGGACTGCGTGGCAACAGTTCTTTCTTTAGCCTTTATTTTCTGTCACTTCGGTTTCCAGGATCGGGCACTCAGTCACCTCACCCTGACAGTAACATCCCTACAGGTTCAGACTGTATCCATCTCTCCCTTAGCACCATAACCGACACACAGAGAACCCTCAGGAAATACCTGTGGATTCATTTGACAAGTGTTTAGTAAGCACCTACAAGGCCCCAAGCACTGGGCTAGGCATAGTGTTTACAGCTGTGAACAAAATCTCTCATGTTGCTTACAGACTAATGGAGACACAGCCTAACGCTGACTTAACACCTCCTTTCAAGTCCTAGGTCAATAATAAAGACCAAAAAAGAAGACATTCATTTTAGAAATATATCTATGAAAAAAAACTGCAAGACACACTTGAAAATATATTTTTAGTCACTGAGCATGACTAAGTCTGAGTAATATTTCTTTCACTCACCTCCATCTTTCTTTTTAGTGATAATTCTGTTTTTCAGCCATTCCTTGGTTTCCTCTTTGACATCCTGAGCAAGTTCTATGACCACCAAAGGCGTGAAAGAACCCTCATAAGTATCCAAAGCTGATAAGGTCACTCTCATCTTTGATGCCCTTGCTGAAAATTAAAATAAAATGAAAAGCAAGCATGGGTTATAATGGAAAAGAGGAATATATAAACTGTATTTGTATTTTCTCTTAGTTACACCTAATTCTGGCTTCCAAGATAAAGCACAATTTCTCACGATCCAGATGGGTTATATGACAGGCTTAACCAATGGTTCAAGCACACACCCTCTACAAAGACAAGCAGACACCATCCATTTCCAAAAGCAGCTCAGAATACAGCAGGGAAGGGGCTCAGGTAACTGAAAGGCAACAGCGTAAAATGTGTTCTCACGCAAGAGGAGTAAGAAAGTATTTACAAAGGAAGTGACACCTGAACAGGGTTTAGAAGAATGAATAGGCGCTTGCCACACAGACAATGGGTGGCATTCTAAGTAGAGGAAACAGTATCACCCTACAAAATAATAATGAAAAATTGCCAACAGACTCAGAGAAGTATAAGTGACTAGCTATGGCTGGAGCATTATCT